GATTTATTTTCCTCAACTGCACAGCCCAGTACCGGTGACGCAAAAGAAAGGTGTTTTGAAAGAAATGCAAGTAATGAAAGTGAAATCATCTGCAGATGTCAGTTGTTGGACATGAGGCTCTCACAGAGGCGGCTGTTACCTGGAAAGTGCCGGCGTGTAGACAGAGAGAAGTTCACCAGGAGGAAGCCATTAACTCGCATGCAGCAAACATTCTGCTTGCTCGTTCCTTGGCTTACTTTCAGTATCTGAAGATGGAGACATTTCTCGGAATTGTCGCCGAAGTGTTAACGGACTGTATGGCCAAAAGGCATTATTCTCTAGTGCAGAACATGTCTTGTTAATGGTGATGATGCTAATTTACAGGACGAAATCATAAATACCTTAAGGAAAATATAGAAGCTTCATTACACCTTTGTAACAAAGTTCGTATGGAAGTAAGCGCGGAGAAAACTGGGTGCACCTCGGCGGCACGTGACTAGAATTCAGGGTGTCATAACATGAAATCCAGGCAAGTTGACAAAATCGGTAACTTTTCTAAATTTTTCCATGGGGTGCTCAGTTCTAATATCGGCCCTGACACCGACTATGATGAGATGTATCATGGTTTTTCTTAGTTTCTCCAGAAAAACGTCGGGAGTACTCAAACTGGGTCACGACATCTTCCTCCGGTAGTATCACCCAGTCATTCCACGCTGCATGGTCTGAGACGCTGATGGTGTCGTTCGGTGAACTGCGGATGTATGAACATATAAAGAAGGTAGCGAACAGATCGTCTGAAAGTGTTAGAAATTGAAGCAGACAAAATTCGAGAAATGGTTGCTATCAGTCAGTTCAGAATTTTTGTCTCCTCGCCTGCTGTCCAAAAAAGCAAAAATCAAAGTATACATTTACTTTCTCGTAAGTTATTTAACGACGTTTTCAGTATCGGGAATATATAGCGTCTGATGGTAGAAGGACCGATCTCGGTGGCCGCGCGGTCTAAGGCTCGAACGCTTCGAATTCCAAAAATCTCAGTCAGGCCAGCCGGTGTGCCGGCCGAAATTAGAACTAGGTATCATCCAATTGCAAAGCTGGGGAGTTACCACTGCACGAAGGTGCTCGGTGCGATATTGTTCCGTTTCACCTCCATCATCACCATTATCATCTTCCACTCTTCTCCTCTTCTTCCCTTTTCTCATTTCTCCTTTTGTGTCACTTCTATTCCTAGTTCTCCTCCTTTGCTTCTATTTCTCCTCTGTTTCCTTCGCGACTCTTCTTTCTTTTCTGCCCTTCTCCTCTTCCTCCAACTTTTCATTCTTTTTCTTCCTTCTTCTACTCCTTATCATTCTCTTCCTTTTCCTCTTCTTTTCTTTTGTCCCCACTCCCCTCTGTGTGAACTCTTCTCTTTCTGACAGTCCTGGCCCACGCAAATGTACGGTCAGTGTCCGAAAGCGTGAAGTTGGCACTGAACATGGCGACGTAGCGGAATTGGGTGGCCGTTCTATGGAGTCTAGAAATTCGGCTGCAGCTTCGCCCGACACTCTCAAACTGTGGGTAATGTGAATGTCAAATTACTCTTTTTGAAATTGAAAATAAAATATACGCATTCTGTTTAACGGATCAGATTAACTCAATGTACACAATGAGGCATTTTCTGCACAGTTTGCAAGAGGTTTGTTCTTGTCATTTTTTGAATTAAAAAGAAAACGCCGCATTTTGAGTCACACATTTCTTGATATAGGTTTAGACACCCTGTGGCTGGTGACATATATCCGACGTTCCGGAGATTACAGCATGTTTACAGACACGGCCGCCCTCACAATTCTCAGTGGATTCGTTCTGATGTGTGCTTGGATAAAAAAGGGCCTTAGTTACAGTGTTACCCTCCCTCCCTCCAGAAATGTAACTGCAACCATTTTCCCGTCAGTTCTTGGCAGATGTTTCCACGCTTCCACAACACAGAGGCAAAGTCTGCACAAGCTATTTCCATCTTCAGGGTCTAAACAAGTAGAATTATTAAGATATAAAAATTTGTGACGATGGTACATGAATACAGTTACTGTTTGTCTGGACATTGTCCATCGGCCCGTTACTATTCATCTGTTAATTTTCTAGATACGTGATCCAACAGGCCCTCCGGGGTCAGAGCCCAAACTATAATCTTTCGCTCCGTGGTCTGTTCCACCATAAACCCGTATAACGTGAACACTTGTGCTGCTCAATTCGACACAGAAGATAGATGTAACACGTAAAGGTAAAAGCAAAGTCCCTGTGCTTAGCTAATTAAGCACTACGCAATGAAGGTCTATTGGGAGTGGAGTGGATGTATAGATCCACATTTTCTTAACCTCGTCACTAATTGGAGATGATTGGTCAGCTTCACGCCCCAGTAGCTTTACCCCCGACGAAAGAACCCCCGGTACCCATTGTAGAGGATGGGTTGACCCCAGAGCCGGTCTGGACGACAAGGAGGAGAGAAAAATTTTCCCCACCGGGACTCGAACTGAGAATCCTCCGTTCTTTAGCCGGTATCCAGTCACTATACCGACTGAGCTAACGCGAACCTGCGAAATGTCGTCAGCACGACTCAGAGCCACTCAGTCCGAATACAGAGAGCGAGGTCAGTATCAACAGCGAATTACCGTGAAAGCCTGAAATCATGAATTGTCATTAACTTTCTGTTTCGGCTTCCCACAGTTTAGTAGCTAATTTAATGTCATCTTTATTTCCAGGAACCCTGTGTCTTATTATACAGCTCAAACGTTCTTCGATTTATGTGGATCAGACGAGTACAAGTAAACACTTCGATGTTCCTCACCAATATAGGAAAAAGAAGATATGATTTTATGGCCCGTGGTGTTGAATTCGCAGTGTCGAATATTGAAAATTGAACAGTTTATTTGCTCTGTCTGGAAATGTCTGCTGAAGAACACTTTTGTCTTTGTCCCTTTCTCCCACGCCCGCCTGTTCAGTATACAGGAGGCGGAGAGCAATGCACAAATATTTCCCCGGCTTCGAAACTGTGTCACGTCCCTTGTGACGTCATGTTTACCTGAATATCAATTAATTGCCCTTAACATGAATAGGTTTACTGAAAATAAAATCTGAATTCCACCTGGAAGCGTAAAGGTCAAACGGAGAGATTGACGGATGTATGCAGGTCCAATTATCAAAATAAAACAAACTCGTTGAAGTTTTGATGTTTTTTTTTATTGCTAGTGGGGTGGGACTGAGTCCCTTGTACTGCACCCACTTCTGGCCTATTGTACCAGCCCCACATGATAGGTGAGGGTGATTGTGGAGCAATTGGTGGAATGAAGATTGGCAGGAGAAACCGAAGTACTCGGAGAAAACCTGCCCCAGCGCCAATTTGTCCACCACAAATCCCACTTGACCAGACCTGGGATCGAACCCGGGCCGCCGCGGTGGGAAGCCAACTTGAGCTGAGGCGCGGCCCAATTTCGATGTTACTGCGGTTTTCAAGATCGCACTTGTCCGCACTTGTGTTCCGCCTTTCCACATTATAGGTCGTGGGTTGTTACACTGTGTGGATGTCATTACAACGCTCGCAGCCAAAAAGGAAGGACACATCGCAGACACAGTACACACAGAAACGACTCCCATAGTGGACGAACCATACTATACGCGAGTTTGAATTAAGACATATAGATGAAAAATCTTAACACGTTTTAGTATATACAAATTTTATTATAGTTGACGAATAATGTACTTTCTAAATCATTTTATGAAATACACAAGATGGCAAACAATGTAATAGCTTAGCGTAAATAACGAACCTGAAGATGGCACTATGTTGCTGAAACATGTAGTAAGAAGCGACATGAAATTGAGCGAACTACAAGACGGCCATTACATACGTATCATGGATGATTTAATACACTTGTCGAGTAGAGGAGGCCGAGGTTCGAATTTAAGCTTAGCAAGGAGAGGAATAATAAGATATTTATCCCAAGGATTTTTCCGGCTAATCAGTGCTTAAATGTGATGCTTTCGAAACTTTCCTTAAAACCTTCGATATGAAGTTCTTACAGCGGTGACTATGAAGAATGCTGTACTCTGGGATGTGACGCCGTGTAGTCTAGTGAGAGTTCGCCAGGATCAAGCGGAACGTATGGCCGCCAACTTCAAGGCCGAAGAGTGAGGCAAGAAGGCAGCCAGGAAGAAGCAAACGTCAAGGTCTTCAAGTTCTGCTTCCTGCCTGCGTCTTGCTAAGACTGCACGGCGTCACATCGCAGAATATGTCATTCTCCATTGATTTGTTTGCATAAGGAACAGAGTGGTCTAGAGGTAACGCTGTAGACTTGTATTGCGTAAGTACTTCGTTCGAATCTCAGTCGGAGCACCGCCTGCCCTGACAAGTTTCAGTGGGCAGCATTTGCTGGAATGATACTTAATTAGGCAAGGACCGCCTCCTATCAGATTATTTCTAATTCATCAGTCATCTCATTATCCGAAGCTATATAGGCTCTACGGGGGCACGCGGTAGCGTAGTTGGTTGAGGCACTATGCTACAAGCCGGAAGGTTGCGGGTTCAAGTCCCGACGAGGTCATTGAATTTTTTTTAATTGACCGAATCCTTCAAGCCGCACTATGGCCCTGGGGTCGACTCAGCGTCTAACAGAAATGAGTACCAGGAATTAATTAAATAATTTTCCTGGGGAGTAAAGCGCGGCCGACGCGTAAGGCTGACAACCTTACCGCCATCTTTGAGGGTCCCACATTATCTAGACTCTAGATAATGTGGGACCCTCAAAGTCTCACAACCTTATGGGTCTTCACGGCCTGATACAGGGATAACTTTACTTTACTTTATATAGGCTCTACACTGAGTCGTTACAGAACACACGAAAAAGAAAAATTGCTTACATATCCACTAAACTTGTTCTTGAATCATAAACATTAGTAGCTTTATTGAGCGGAACCGTTCTTGTGAAGCCTATAGCGTCCTCCGGTACTTTGAATTGTGACCGCAAGCAAGTAAGCAGCATGTTCTGTTGCAGGAGTACTTCCCCGCACTGAAGACCATCGCTCAGGTGGGGTACGGTGTGTCGCTGTCCACTCTGGTCATTGCGTGTTGCATCCTGGCTGCCATAAAGTAAGATTTCTCATTTATTATTTCAGTGGTTTGCAATGTTTGGGATGACGCGTATCTGATTAGGGATGAGGCGGAATGTTCTTAGAAACATAAATGGAATTACAAAATTCATAGATATTAAATTTATTTTAATAATCGTTGACGCAGTTCCAGTGATGGCTAATGCTTTATTGAAAACCGTTGCTGGTTTCGACCTCATAGGTCATTAAAATGTGGTACACGAACTACAGATTTTTGTATACTGAATTTCAGTATTTTCCTTTTAGCTACCTTATTGAAATGTGAGTCCAGTGTTCGGCAGACTACACAAGTTTTATTGGTATGTGGTATAAATAATCCCAAAATAAAAACAGTACGATTAACAGTTAAATTCGTACACTGGTTATAAAATTATATGCAAATACATTATCAGGATGTGTGTTTGGAGTGTAATTGTTTTTATGTTTAGCTAAGTGTGACTATAGAATATGCTATTGTCTGAGTAGTCCTCTTGTTAATATGCATAAAACAATATAAGAGTAAACTGACTTGAGTTGAATACACAGTTTAAGTGAAATTGAACTCTTTAAGTAACAGTGTGATCTGATGAGATGTTTGTTGAGATGTACGTTGTATGGTCGTCTGGGTGCCGGTCACGGTAGCTGAGCGGTGTAAGGCATGCACTGTCTTCGCTCGCTCGGAAGCCGGGATCGTGGGTTCGAATCCCGCTCAGGGCATGGATGTTTGTGTGCGTTTTTCTGTGTTTGTCTACAGGTAGAGGCCTTGCGACGAGCTGATCACTCCCCCAAGGAGTCCTACCGAATGTGTAAGATCTAGAAAACCGAAGTGAAACGGAGAGTTTCATGGAGGTAGGCCTAGGCCCAATTGAGGGCTGTAGCGCCAATGAAAAAAAAANAAAGCTCGTCTGGGGCTGAATATAAATTTCGTGTAATAATTTATAAACCGTATTTATGGAGTATTGGTTCTGCGGGGCTTTTCTTCTGAAGTCGAATATTATGGTATTAATGATATGGGTCGTGTGGGTTGGTCCAATTGAAGGCAAATGGTTAAGTGCTGGGAAGTGTTAGTCATTCCCCGCGTCAGAAGATCAGTTCTGGGTGTTCCTTCCCCCTGTACTGACTCAGGTCTTCTGATGTTGTGGCAAGTGATCTTCCTTACTATTCACTGATGTTTCACAATTTGCTACTTTAACGAAAGTTATGCTGTGATTTCCGTCACGACTACAAGCTAACAACGTGTACATTCACCTCGCAGTCCAGCAGTGGCACTCCTCGAATTCAGGATCATCCGGAAAGAAAACTGGACGCAAATTAAGATGCTTAGTGGGCGCCGGAAGCAACTTCAGGGAAGTTACCGCCATGTTATTCGGGAATTTGGCCCTGCTAAGTGTGGAAACTTATTTGTACAAGTAGAATCCATCTCCTAAACTTAGAATTCGCCCCCAAACTCAAGTCCAACAGGTTAGGATTTTTTTCAATTGACCTGATCCTTCCAGCCGCACTATGGTCCTGGGGTCGATTTATCCTTTAACAAAAATGAATACCAGGAATCATCCTTGGGGGGGGGGGGAAAGGCTACCGGCGGGTAAGGTTGAAAAACTTCCCGCCATCTGCGAGCCGATTGTCTAGACAATTTGGGATCCTCGACCTCCCACAACCCTATGGGCCTCCACTGCCTGTTGCAGGGATAGGGAAAAAATCCTGCTCGTAGAGGTTATGCCTTTGTTGTGTTTTTCAAAATAAATGTCGAAAGTTCTTCTAAAGTTACTTTGGGCTCTGTTTTTATTAATGAACTTCTTTCGGTTGGCAGCGCTAAATTTACTCATAATATGGCGTCGAAGTTTTAAAGTCATTCGGGCCACTTGTTAACAAGGCTAAGTACCATAATAAGCATTGCAAACTCCAAAATAGAAAATTACGTACAACAACGAAATATACAATTAAAAATTACATAAATTAAATTACCTCTATAATGTACATGCGACACATGGGCCCCGACACAGAACCTCTCCTGCTGCAGACGGCGATCAGATACTCCTGTTCGTCAGAGACCTTCACAAGCGTGTTTCTGATAACCGTTTCGTTCTCTCCGGACCCGAAATGTCGCTGGCAGTGGCGCTGCTAGCACAGTATCGTCACAATTAACTTAAAAAAAATTAGTGTCAGCTTCGACTTCCTGAAGGTCCAGGAAAGTCAAATTTCATGAAGATTCCAAAGGGTTCTGACGAGGATTTATAACATTAAGCATTACTGGATCTGTTTCCGTCTTCAGGTAAGGGTAGAGAAACCTACTCTTTTGGGCCCTTTAGAAAGAGCTAATCTCAATCGCTGGACGCCCTGTGCACTTTTCCCAAACTATAGAACAGTTGGGGGCTGTAGATGTCTCCCAGATACCTGCAGTGCCCTTGCAGTACAGCCATTGCCACCGAGCTGCTTTCTTCCAGTAGTCATAAAATGTTTTTCTCAGCAAGTGATTTGAAAAGGGAGGCACGCGGTAGCGTAGTTGGTTGAGGAGCTATGCTACAAGCCGGAAGGTCGCGGGTTCAAGTCCCGATGAGGTCATTGAATATTTTCAATTGACATAATCCTTCCAGTCTTACTATGGCCCTGGGGTTCACTCAGCCTCTAACAGAAGTTAGTGCCAGGAATTCATTAAATAATTTTCCTGGGAAGTAAAGAGCGGCCGGGGCGCGTAAGGCTGACAACCTTACCGCCATCTGTGAGCCGATTGTCTAGATAATTTGGGACCCTCAACGTCTCACAACCCTATGGGCCTTTACGGCCTGGTACAGGGATAGCTTTACTTTTTACTTTAAGTGGTTTGAAAAGAAACCAGTTAATGGACACTAAAGGCTGGAAGGGAATTGTTAGCAACGCTTCTGAGAGAGGGTGAAATGGATGCCTAGGAAATTACGTAACATACACAGAAGAAGAGACGCTTCCGTTTAAAGAAGACGTCCTCATTTTTTTCGCAGCAGAATCGAATGCTGAATTGCCCTTTCGTTTAGGGGGGGGGAGGTTCTAATAATTCAAATAGCAACTAATGAAATGTTCTGAAACTAAATATTGATGTTAGATTTGAGGTTCCCAAGGCAGTGATTTTATAAATAATGCATATTTTTCTCTGGGACTTGATGCCGTCTTGCTGCGTGCTTCTTGCTGGCTCTTGCATGGTTTACTTTCAAGTGCTGAACATGGAGACAATACGGTCTTCCGAAAGTTCGGAGAACTCCTGTCGGAGTACATGACGAAACACCAAAAGCAATATTTCCACGCTTCTAATTTTTAGGTTTTCAAGGGATGAAACACTTTTCGAGGTGGAAAGCTTATATTATTGTTACTTTCTCGTACACGTAACAGAGACCTAATGCAGAAGAGAGTGTTGTGATAGTAAAAAAACAAATCGATCTCATAGTCCTGACGGATCTGCAAATTTAAATTCCCCGGAATACGAAAAAGTGATTTTTGTAATGACCCTATGTGTGTGTGTGTGTGTATGTATATATATGCCGGTCACGGTAGCCGAGCGGTCTAAGGCATGTACTATCTTCGCTCGCTCGGAAGCCGAGATCGTGGGTTCGAATCCCACACAAGGCACGGATGTTTGGCGCGTGTATGCGTTTATTCTGTGTTTGTGTTATCCTGTGTTCAGGTAGAGGCCTAGCGACGAGCTGACCACTTGTCCAAGGAGTCATACCATCTGTTAATGGTCATGAAGCTGAAAATCAGAGGCCAAGGCCCAGGGAGACTGTGCAGCCAAACTTACTTCTCGTTATACGGTTTGGTTTCATAAGAGTTACAAGAAAAAGGCCATCTTATACATAGTTGAAAATAGTGCAGTAAAATACTCGAATTTCAGTTTTCAGATGCCACGAAACCCGTTCGGAAAAAAGAAAATTATGTCCCTGTTATAAAATAAGGACAAAGGAAAAGAAAAATTACTCGAAGACAAAGAAAAGCCGTTTCCTTCTGTCCACACAGAACGACCAACTGCAGAGCGACAGGATGGCTTCCGTCTGGTAGCTGACGCAGCCGCTGCTACTGGCGGTTGGACTTTAATTTGAATTTAACAACTATTCCCGATCTCCCCTCTATTTAGTACGTCATTGTAGTGTAACCGTTTTTCTTCGGTTCTGCTAGCTCCGGTAGAGCAATTCGACTCCTCTCAGGGCGTGTTGACTGGCCACGACTTGGGTGATTAGTGGGACTTTAGGCGTAGGGAAATCACCAATTAACTGTATGGAGTCTTTATACAATTTGCACTAATTAAATAGAAACAGCCCCGTAGTGGTACACTTCACAGATTCGCGAATGTAGGCTTACTTACTGTTCTGGGGACGCACACTTAATAGTCACGACAGGGCGTGTTTACGGGGATCCGAACACGTGTACCCCCGGTGAATGTAACTTTCAGCGTCCTCCTTGCCAAGCACCCTCTGATTGGTAATATTTGCCCTGGTTACCCAAAATTCGGGCAAAGGACCTCCCACTTCAGAAAATGATTGGCTGGACCGGGCAGACTGGGAGGTTGCTTATCATTCCCCTCCAATTAGGAAAGCGAATATCCACTAGTGTACAGTTTAGGGGTGAACTTTGCCACCTGCTGCGGGGCTGTCAGACTGAGATTTTGGGGTAGCAGGAAACGACGCTGCTAAATTTATGACTTCCCCTGTCAAGTTTAGAATTTCTAAAGAACTCGGCCTTGTTTTACGCATTAAATTGACTGGTTTACGAATGGGCAGCTGGCTTCAAGCTTGACCCAAGCCACTTGCTGCTTGTCTCAAGGGGAAAATTTCAAATTGTGAGGCGAAAGTGAGGAATTTCACAAAACCCTAACCATACACAAACATCAATTGACCTTCCCATAAACTGGACAGTTACAAAGTAACAATATGAAAAGTGCTTTAGTTAACAAAGGTAATGTAAATCGACAAATGGAGCATAAAAGCAGTTAACAATAGGCACATAACAGCACTCTCAAGATGGCAAACTGTTATTAAA